TTGGGAAAGCGAATTTTTCGAAAAAGCGTCTCAAAAAAAAAAACAAAAAAAAACAGACCTCATCTGGAAAAAAAAAACGTTTTCATAATACATGTTTAATAAATCCAACAGGAATTTTGGACAATTCCACTTCTCTTCGAAAGTCCAAAAAGCAAAGAATTCCAAACACCAAATCTTGAAATTGATTTTTCAATAGAATCTGGAGCGGAATCGAACATCATCAACAATCCTACTTGGAATGAAATCAAAAGTTTACATCCAAAAATAATACCTTCAAAAACAACAAGCAGGCTAGCGACAGCACAAGGCTCAACCTTAACAAATTATGGAAAAAGACAACTCTCCTCCCTGGTTCCCACTCAAACAATGGAACAAAACAAACTCTTGAACAAACCATTCAAACAAACTTTTCAAATTACCGATATAAAGCATGATATCATTGGAATTCCAATTATTACTAAATATATACCAATGATTAGTATTTTAAACAGCAGAATTCATATAGAAGATAAATAACACAAAAAGAAATTGAAAAACTAGCCGATTCACTATTAAGCACCCAAAAGTTTACGCGACATCTAAATTTGATGTTGGAAAAGTAAATTCACCACAACATTTACCTTAAAAACCTGATGCAGTTTTCATAAAACAACGATCAACTGAAGTTTCAATTCACTTGCAAGACAAAGCTAACAGACTATTAGACATACTAGAACAAAATGAAATCTTTTTTCCAGTAAATAAAGAAGAACAGCCAAAAAGAAACACATTTATAAATCCTTTTATCATCCTGGCAAAAGGAGAATCATGAAAAATAGTCACGATGCGAGATATATCAATTCACTCATTGACAAATCTGAATGTCATTGGCCCATTCAACCAATTCAAGTTATTCTAACATAAAAAGGTTAATATTTCTCAACAGCAGATATGAATAGTGCATATAATCAAATGGCGTTAGACGAACAATCACGACGATTAACACAACTTGTTATCGGTAATCAACAAACGAATTCAATAGATTATTCTATGGCATCTCCGTAGGACCAGCATCATTCTCAGCGTTTATGAGTGAAATTTGCCGACCACTCTTACAGGAAAAAAATCCAATCACATATTTAGACTTTTTATGCAATCACAAACCAAGGACGAAATCTTCAGTTTTAGAAAAAAATTATCAGATATTACTACACGAACACTTGAAAGCAGCTATGCATTATATCGGTGATATGGAAAATTTGTTTGAATGGTTTGTTCAAGAGTTTGTTTTGTTCCATTGTTCGAGTGGGAACCAGGGTGGAGAGTTGTATTTTTCGATAATTTGTTAAGGTTGAGCCTTGTGCTGTCGCTAGGCTGCTTGTTGTTTTTAGGGGTTATAATTTTGGATGTGAGGTTTTGATTTCATTCCAAGTAGGAATGTTGATGCTGTTCGATTCCGCTCCAGATTCTATTGAAAAATCAATTTCAAGGTCTGGTGTTTGGAATTCTTGCTTTTTTGATTTTCGAAGAGGAGTGGAAGTGTCCAAATTTTTTTAGGTTGTGTTTCTTTTGGTGCACTTTGGTAAAAATGGTTTGTACTGGAACATTCTACAGGTTTTTTTTCTGTAATTTCTTTTATTATGTTTTCTATTGTTTTATTATTATTTCTAGGTCTTGTATAATAATCTTAGAGAAATATAGCATGATTTTGATAGAAGTGTGAATGTATCGGTTGTTCGTATATAATGGATTCGTAATCATTTTTAACATGTATCATGTTAACTGAAATTGCATTATCTGTTTCGTTTTCACTGTCTGTGGATTCGCAATTCATGTGGTTTAATTGCAATTCTGTGCTTTCTAAATTATCAATACCAGGGGGTCTGATTGAGTTTCTTCAATTGTTAGTATTGATTGATGTTTTGGTGTATTACTTCTATGTTTTTGTTGAGAACCTGGATAAAGTGTGTTAATTCTATGTGGTTATAAAGTAGTTTCTTTGTCTATTGTTATAATTTTATTTTCTGTTTTGTGAATTATCGCGTGATC